GAGAGAGAGAGAGAGAGAGAGAGGTGTTTAGTTTATAGTAGTTATATATCGGTCTACAGGAATTTTTTATACGATTTGGAGGGAAGGAAGGGGAGAGGCGGCAGAGAAAATAGCAATAGGAGATGAATTATGAAACAACCGTGGACTGTGAGTATCCGAGAGGCGTGCACGATGCGTGCATCGAGGAGTCTCGAGAAAAGAGAATACTCCTCGAGAATCGATCTGAAGCGCACCCTTGATTGTTGCGATTACTTGAGGGAGTGGGCGAACGAGATTCGATCGAGCCTCTTAATTAACGGACGCGATATCATGCATCTGGCTCATCGTCCCGATACCTGGCCCGATTCAATGTCGAATACGAGTCTGTCAAACGATAGTCGAAAATCGGCCAAAAATTTTCTTTCGACGATCGAATGAAATAAATTTCATCGAATAATTAGTGGTGATTTAGAAAGAGAGGGAAAGAGCAGATTGACAAATCTGCGAAACAATAATTAATTAATAAAATCAAAAATCAGTCAAAAATCTTCTTTCGACGATCGAATGAAATAAATTTCGTCGAATACGTTAGTGTCAATTTAAAAGTGGAAGGGAAAGGAAGAACGTTGACGAATCTGCATAACTAATTTGCCAATGGTTACGACCACGACGACGACGCGCCAATCATCTATTTCCGCCCCCAAAGTTGAGGAGTAAAACTGTGAAAATTAGGTAGGACGAAGTTGCGGCCACGGCTAATTCGAGAGAAGTAACTTAATTACTCCCCGCCATCAACTACCACCTCTGCCTGAACACTACACACTCGCCCAATTCGCATCGAAAGATCGGTGAACGAATCGATAAGAATATTCCAGCCTTCGTCGCGTAAATCCAATAATAATAATAATAATAATAATAATAATAATAATAATAATTCGTCCCGTGTGATTGGACAGGGAAAGAAAAGGAAAAAATGCGAGGAAAAATAGATTATATTTAATAACGGATTTAATCTTTACTGGTTACAGACGGAGCTCTCGCAAAATTTGCAACAACTGTCGGAAAGAGCTCGGTCGACGACGGAATTCATTCAGAGGCTCAAAGGGATGACCGACAAAGTGCACGTGAGTATTTATCTTGGACGCCCTTTTTAAATTTCACCTCCACAATTTCCAGTCCGCCGTGAAATTGCGGAAGAGCTGTGCTCGATAATTGCTTCCCTCTCCCTT